TAACTGAAAGCAAGTTACTGTTATTTTTCAAAAGAAGTGTTAACAATCTATTTACTTAGAGCAATCTATAACTGTACTGCTAATAAAGGACAAAATGACGTTCCTGTCAATGAACGAACCAGGTTACCATTATTTTGTTCAACCGTTTCCCTTCTTGTGGAAAGCGTACAGTCAGAATACAAAGCATGGTTGTTAGCCAAAACGAAAGTAGCCAAATTGACTCGTTCATGTGGCTGACCACAGTGGTTGTTCGTAATGAGAACAACAGATAGAGAAAAAAAAGGAAAGAAGAAGTAGCAGGTATTACAGTAAAAGTCGGACTACGAACATTGTACGTCCAGTCTGTAGTTAGCCGCGGTGCTTTCACCGATAACGTTGACCGCCTTGCAAGAATAGAGACCAGCGTCGTTTCTCTTCACCGGTTCGAATCTCAGCTCTGAGCCGGTGCTCGTGCCGTTCTGCTGCGTTCTGTTTAGCATCAGCGATACCACGCTGCTCGTTACCACGATGGGAGCTGAATCCTTGAACCACTTGATCGTTCCGCTGGGATTGCCGTCCGCGAAGCATTTCAGGCTCATAAAGCTGGCCGAATCCTCGAGGGCTGAGATCAACAGCCGGGGCTTCGTCTCTAGTCTCACCTCTGGCGAGTCTGAAATTGAGTTTTCGAGTCTGTGTTAAGTTTTTGTTTTATTGGTTTGATCTTTGGTGATTTATAATTACACTTAAGGTGATTTTCTTTGGAGTGTGGGAAACTTGAAAGCTCGAGAAGGTGATTCTTTTGAAACGTAATTTTTGATTTAGGAAGTTATTTTGTGGTCATTTTGTGTGGAAGAGTTGGAATTTTTGAGGTCCTTTTTCTTGGATGTTTTATGCTGAAGAGCTGGAATCTCGTGAGGATTCTTTCTTTGACAGTTTTATATAGAAAAGTTAGAATCTTGAAAGTATATTTTTCTTAATATGGTACAGAAAAGCTGACATCTCGAGTGAGCCATATTTTGCAAATCTTATATTGAAATCTTGAGAGAGCAATTTTTTTGAAAATTTTAAATGATAAAATTGGAATCTCAAAAATACCACTTTCTCTCAATTGTGCACAGAATAACTAAAACTTTGGCAGAGTCACTCTGGGAAGAATTGAAATCCTAATGACCAACAAGATTAAGTTATACCAGCACACCAGAATAAAATGTTTTGGAAAGTGGAAATCTGTCAAATCATCTCTCCAACACGAATCACTAGAAATTTAAATCTTTCTTTTCTAATATTCAATTTCTACTTTAATGGAAGGAAAGATTATCATCGGCAATGACTTCCTGATGGCTTTCTGTCCAGTAGAGTGGTCAAAAGTGAAGTGTAGCATGAATCACGAATGTAGTTGCTTTCATTCTGCTTCAGTGGAGACTTTGCTTTACACGTTGCACAAATGTATGCGGAATATACATACAATGCACATCCAGTCGTGTTTCCGCAGAAGTTGGATCTAAACTGGATGGATGTATCGAGATACACCGAATCGGTAGACCATGGTTCTCCCTTTGTCCACGAACACGGAGGAGACTGTGGGCTGCCCAAGTTTTTGGACTATCCACTTCTGTCGCGTTTGTCTGATCTCTCAGAGGCTCCACTTCGTTTCCTCCTATGTACCTATATAAAAAAACAAATAATACATTGTATAAAAAATGTGTCAAATTGTCACAATCATTTTGTATGTAAATCATAATTGCAAATTATAATTTTTATAAATAAAATGTATATCATATAAAGGGAATGTAATTTTTATGAATGAAAGATCTAAGAAGAATAAGATAGATTGGCATAATATTAATAATAATTTAAAAAATAGTTAAAAATGAGAATTTAAAGAAAATAAGAAAAAATAGTATGATATAAATTGGAATAGGTCTTATGACACAGTAGTTCTTGTATTACAATGATACAAATCTTGGAAGATTTATACTGATACATTATAGCATGAATAAGTGTGTAACTTCTAATAGCACGAGCTACCATTATGGAAAGATTAAGCATCAAGATAATGTTCAGAACCATTGAACTAACTTGATGAGCCAACTCAACGCTAATGATACCATTTCTCTAAGTACAGCCAAATGTACGTAAGATAAATTCAAATTAGATAACAGTTTTTCCTACACCTTTTCGGAAAAACATCGAAAAACCACAAAATTATCAACGCAAAACTATCTGACTTTATTCAGAACTAATTAAGAATTCTCAAATATAATTTTTCCATGATAATAAACTCACTGAAAAATATTTTCCCTACTTGTGACCAAAAATTAGAAACGAAACATGCAAATAATCTGAAAATTAAAGAAGAATTCTCAGATCGAATTTTTTCACGGGCTAGAGATTCACTGAAAAATGCTTCCTGCGAACGAACATTTCTGCATTTGTGACAGAAAACATTGTGATTGTCCTGTTTTAACGTAATCAGAGACAGCCGTTAGATGCAAGGTTCCGGAAAGCAGTTTAGCAATTTCCCACGAATACCGATATTCAAGGTTTATACCCTTTCCAGAGTGATTCACGGGGCGACTGTGCTCGCGGCCAGTTTCTCCGCTTCTACGGCTACAATCTGCATAATTACGCTTGCTACTGGATCTTCGGTTGTGAAGGAACGAAGACGAGCTATTTAGACAGCGTGCCTATTAAAGGCTGTAAAAAGAATCGCTTGGAACCTCGCCCGTTACAATGGCCGGCGTAATTTCTGCGAGCGCAACTCCAAGTGTGAAGTTAGGAACTGTTTCTGCCTCTCTTCGTGCCACATTCGATTCGTTTCATAGACTGCCGGCCAAAAGTTTCGAATCACCTCCCACTTTTCATCAATATTAAATCTGCTGCTAATTTTTTACAGATTTCAAGTTTATCTCAATTTTACTTTTATCAAATTATATCATATCAATTGATTCGAATGATAAAAAATTCTCAATGTCGCTGACTTTTTTCTGGAAATTTTTGTGTAAATTGCAATGCTCAGTGAAGAAGTATATGTATATACATATACACTACACATACACTAAAAAGAAGTTAGCATTTATAATAATTTTTTAACGAATTTGTTGTCATTCAAATCGATTGAAATGAGGTAAAGTGCTATTGATCTCCACAACATCAATTTCAAATCAATAAAGAAAATTCTAATTGTGATTCCAAATTTTTGGCCGGTAGTGTATATACACATACGCTCGTTGAGTGAAATTCGTTGTCTGCATGTGTTTTCTTACATGAAATCGCTCCTTTGCGGGCGTTCGTGTCACTACGGCTTTGGAGGGAATTGTACGTAAAATTGCACTTTTTCTTCGTTTTAAGCGTAACAAACAGAAAACGCACGAGAGAGTAATTTCGCCGAAAGATGAAATGGACTGTGGACACGATTCACGGACAATTAACAGTGAAACCTGTCCCCACCTCGACACAACTTCCTCTCTTAACTAAATCGTTTGCGCTTTCTAAGTACCGATTAACCATCTGTAGCAACAACATTCGACTCTCGAAATAATTGTTCAACATCCGAATTACGAATAATCACGAGCAAACTCGATCGTACCTCACCATCGATTCTAATTACAATTAATTAACCTACACCACGCAATCAGAAAGTTACACAAATTTCTAATTCCATACGAGATGACGAACAGTTATAGAACCAGGTCCCGTAAGAAGAATGTAATTTACAAACTTCAACGATTTTCGGATACAACTCTAACAAGCGTACGAAAAACGCAGAAAGGAAAGTAGCGAATTAAATTTACAATAGAAAGATGAAATTGTTATAATCAGAAATTATGTTTTTATCGTGTAACAGGTGTATTCACGATGTCTAGGTGTTCCTGGAAAATTGAACACTTTGCAGCAAGAAAAGTGCAGCTCTAAATGTAACTTTATATCAGCCAGTTAAAATGTACATATTAACGCAGTATTTAGCACTATTGCCGAGCAAAAATATATTTTCACTACGGCAGAGTGAATCTTTAGAATTTAAAAATTGTATAAAAATTTACAATGCAATTTTTTGATAAAAATATATACAGTTCTGTTACATAAAAGTAGAATTGTGAAATGCACATGCGTTGTTACATTTGCAAACAAAATACGGTTCTGGAGATGTAGTTCTCTTTGAACTATTCATTCGTTTCCTCTAACATTTTTTTCTAATTATTATATTATATTAGTTTATGTGGGAACATAGGAAATAAAATAGAGTGCATTCTAATAACTTGGAACTGGATTATCAAATCAACTTCTTTCTTGCAACAACTTATTCAGAATTTTTTTTTACATTCAATGCTACCTATAATTCAATTTCAACCTGTTATGAGGTTGCCTCCTTTTTGCAACGAAGTGTTCAATTGTAACATCGATGATGGGAACATGATGATCGAACAGCAGAGTCGGTTTATAAGAATTTCGATTAGGTGTGGCTAGCTGACCGCTAGACCATGACACGAAAAATACGCTGAACTAAACTCTTCGCTGCATAAACACCGAGTTATGGCCTCTGTGAACCGTGCTTTTTGCCTTTAGACGATATTGCGTTGTCGTAAAACGAGGAATCCACAAAGACGTTGTATGTGGAACTTTTCTTTTACAAATGCTCCACTTATAGCGATGTGGAATATACTGAATAGAATTACAATAGATTTGGCGATGGACAATACAGACGTTCATTGTACAAGCTAACTTAACTTAATCGTCCAGAACAAATGACAAATTATTTCGCTTTTTTTAAGATAGGATTCTTACACTTAATCCTTTGAAACCTGAGCTATTTTTCCTTGACTTTCATTTGAAAACCCTTTTCAACCCTTTCCAATTCGAATGAAATTTAATTGTTTAAAATTTTTATGTATAGGTTAATTTAAAATTGAAAGGGTCACAAGTTCGAGTGATTTAATAACACTATTAATTTCATTATTTCTGTAACAATTTGAACATACGCTTCTTTTTGTATAACGAAAGCATGTATGTACGTGGAGGACTTCAAACTATCCTGAGTCATATATTGTTCAGCAGACAATCAGCCATTAATAACAGTACACTTTTGTGTATACATTTCATTTCTTTCTTTGGATTATCAATTGGATTCGAAAAGTAGTAACGCAATCAGTCAGCTGCAGCCAGCATTCCTTCGAATGAAAGTTACTGCAAAAACAATAGGAATATGACCAGTACCATTGCACAAGTGTTTTGTTGCTGAGTACAATTGGAATTGTGGCTCGGCCAGATTATGAAAAGTGAATTTGCAAGAGAGTAGGTTTACGTTTCACGGTATTCATTGAAAAAAAAAAAAAACACACTGAAAGTAAAGTCTTGGTAATTTTTAGAGATTTTTATCTAAATTTAATAAATACTAGTGTGGTAGAGTTAGGGTGAATTGTTATTTACCTTTTCGGTGTGCTAATTAATTGCACTCACCATTTGATGAGGGCTGGGGGGTTCCCATATCTGGATACGCAGGAAATGGTGACTTCCTGACCCTCCCTTAAAGTCAGGCCGGAGTTTAAAATCGTCCCCCCGTATTCCAACCGTGGCTTCCGGGGTTTCACTGAAATTTATCAACCGAAAAATGATTTAACAACCACACAAAAATATTACGAATGAAAATAAATAATTCTAAACTTTTAAAAGCTTGCGATTACACTAAACACAATAACAATAACAAAAACGGAAAGCAATAATTATAATAAAATTGTCGAAAAAAAGTTCGCAATTTCTACCGATTACATTTCATTTACATTACTTCATTCCTTCAAAGAAAGCTTAAAACATTATAAAAATCTAATTATATTGAAAAAAATTCTATTCTTGAGTGTGCTAGTAACCCATACTTCAATGGAACGATTTTGCAAATCTCGTTGTGATCGATTTATCGCGTCAGATACGCGATTTGGGAATTCAATTTACCAGAAAATTTCCATTAGGGCCGTGATAGTATTGCAAAAATCCTCTAGCGTGGAGAAAAGTAGAACGGAACGAACGGTTCGCAAGTTGCGTCACGTCGCGCCCGCGTTTAACGAATTTTAAGTTGCGCGGCAAAATCTGCATCGTTCCATTGAGGAGGCGTCAGGATCTGATTAGCCCACATATGACTCCGTCGAGGATCATTCTGCGACGAAGAAGAAAGCGATATTTTGTTTCTTTTCCAACGATGATGCAAAAAGCCAACGTTCCGTTAAAACTAAGTGTACACACTTGCTTTACGCTTTAACGTTTCGTGGAACATAACACACGAGCCATTACGTGTAGCTCTGATGATTCCTTAATCACTTAGGAATTAAAGTGTATTGCATGAAATTTTTCACGCGGTTGAAGAATGGCAACTTTAACAACCGCTGGTTCCAGGAAAAATCAGATTACTGGGTCGATGGATTTCAAGTGGTTTCTCAGAGGTGGATTTTCGTCACGAGAAACCCAGGGGCAATCTGTTCCCATGTATTTTTTTTCTGGATTATCTTGAGACGGTGAGGTCATGTGCAGATGCACAGTGGGATTCTGGAGTGGATGAAAAAAAAGTGTTGCTCTAGTGGCGCAGGTCCGGGAAATTTTGTCGGTATCAATGGTAGAGTGTGAAGTGGACGGCTTTTAGGAACGTATCGTGTATCTCCATTTATCTGGAATTAGGTTCACAGGATGTGAAAAAAAAGGAAGCACATTCAGCTGTTAAAAACCAATTTTTTCAAGTAGAAAATAGATCTGTTTCTCCCGATTAGAATGAAAAATTATAGTGAGAGGCGTAAAAAAATATTAAAAATGAGATAAAAAGGATTTAAGAACTTCCACCTACGATAAAACTCAAGCGATAAATCATTTATATAAATAGCTCAACTGTTAGGAATTTGCGAGAAAAACAACCTACATCATCCCTCTAGTGGCATTTACATAAAGTACCACTATTAAAAATTCTTGATCTATTTTATTTCAATTATCAAAAATTTGTCAACTTTTATATAAATCTTACCCCTAACTAGAAGACGAGATGGTAACGATGTTAGGGCATCTTGTCGCGTGAAATCGCCAGAAGTGACTTGACACTCCCAGTAGCCGTCATCGAAGTCGAGGGAGGCTCTTCTGATAAGGAGGGTGCAATCGCTACCGCGTCCGCTAGCCCACTCGTATTTATCAGGATGCATGCCCACTGGTTTCCGGTCTTTCTGCCAGATGCACTGACCCCGTTTGTCCTGCACCCTGCATCGTAATTGCACGTCATCACCAGAAGAGACTTCCTGATACAGTGCCGGAGTTTCTGCGAATCTTTGCTCGGCTCTAATGCAAGCAACGACTGCGAGAATGATTAGAATGGTGCTCTGAAGATAACTGAACATCATTTTGGTGGATTGTAGTTTAATTCGTTGAGTTGTTTTTTATTCGCATCGTTGTATCTTATTCGTTGCATTCATAAAGCAGTCATGAATTCGAATTCGTTGAAGTAATCGATATTCTGTTATCGAAACACTGAATCACAGTCGATATAGACAATTTGAAACTGAGCCGATTGAATAGTGTTTCATCGATCCTTAAATCGATTATTTGACGTCGTAACGAATTGGCGCCAAATGGACTATAGAGAGTCAATAGGAAAATGCGGAATATTAAATCATATTACCTTTTTAATTTTCAATTTGCACTATTAATTATAGAATTATATATTCACTTGCAATAAGAAAGAATCCTATTTTTTCACTGTAAACACCGTGCACTTTAGTTTGATGTAATTAAATGTTCGACACTTTCACACAATTAAAAAATTGTCATTGTTGAATTTAAATTGATAAATAAGTTTTAAAGTGTGGTTTGAAAGGTGATATACTATTCTTGGTCAGTTTGATTGTTCACAATCAACATCAGGATTCTCTCTGCAGGAGAACTTAAGACAAAGTGAGCCGTTGTGAAATTCAAAAGAAAGTTCGTGACAGCGGAGCTCCTGCAGCGCCATCGTCGGCAGTCGCTACAAACATTTACACATCCCTTATGAAATTCAATTTTTCTGCACTTCTTTTTACGAAATTAAACGGAATACTGCACATGTAAATTCAAAATTTACTAATAAAGCACAGTCTTTTAAACACTCATGAGTGCAATATTCATGATCGACCAAACATTAAAGAGCTATGTTTGATTTCATTAAAACTGATACATTCTAAAGTTCATAACTTTCCTTCTCGTTCGTAGCGGAAAATGAAATTCTACTACGTCCAATACAACCATCAACAACACCTGTTACTTATACATCACTTATACCAAAATTCACCCCCAATATTCACTTTCTTACTAAAAATTTTCAAACAAGTGGTTTCCACAAGTCACCATTCGAATTTTCATACACAAACTCACCAAACTTATTCACACCACAAATTATCAAACTTTCTTCTAAACTACCTTTTAGCAACTCCTCATTGTACTCAAAGTATCATCAAATATTGTAATTTGTCCCGAACAGGTGAATCACGTACATAGTCTAGCAAGAAGAAAAGAAAACAGCCGGTCTTAGTACAAAACGAAGATATCTAGGACGTCCAAGCACAATGCTGGATGCACGTAGTGGAACTGAGCCGGAGTTAAAGCCAGAACACGTTCACCGGAGTGGAAGCGGAAGACGGGCCCCAAACGCGGGCCCACGCGTGCGTATCCAACCCTGTCTCCTCTGTGCTAGCTATCCTTATTATTCGAGCGTGTTATCATTATGCCATGGTACGGCGAGCTTAGCCACCCATTTGTTCTACATGTTCTTTATTTCGCGTTTAGCCAGCGAGAAACCACCACTGCGCCCTCTCTAATTTCCAGTACGCCCCCTTCCGAGCTCCCAGGGAGGAGTTCGCGAGGAGAAAGCAACTACTTATGGGGCCCATTAGACATGTTCAACATTGAACGTGTGCTTCACCACTGACAGATGCTTCTGATAAGCTTCAGAAAAAGACATGTCCTTTAATGACTTATTATGACCATCTGGATATTTCATTTGTACGTATTCTAAACTTAATGGAAAAAATGTATTTATGTCTATTGATGTATTTATAGGCTTAGATAATTTGTAGTTGGATTTATTGCATCATGCGGCGTACATACAGTATTCTATTAAAATGAAAGTTGTAAATTGAACATGTGTCTTTCTTCATGGGTTAGGTAAATGTTCCGTGGAGAAAATATGATAAATTACCGACAGAGACGCGTGTAACTTTCTACCGGTCATTTTAGTGGACGGCCTCCCCCAAGAAAAGTTTTCACGAGCAATCTGTATCAGATTATCGAGTCAGTACGTAGTAATGAATAACATTGTGGATAAATCTATGGTTTAATAACGAGTAAAAGCATCCTCAAGCGGTGGATGAATCGGTATTTTCATTAAGGCACGAGTTAACGACTCTTCTAATGAACTGTTAATAGATTCATTCGCTCGCTTATCCATTTTATCGACATAGCGAACTGATGAGATCACAGCGATCGTTAGAATAGAATTCTACGATAAGAATTGGCTTGCGCAATTACATTAATTATGACTAGACAAGGTCTACTCGTTTTCTTGAGAAAAAGGGTTTTCCCCTGTGAGAAAACTTCAAGGGATTCACTCCCTTCCTCTCTGGAGTTAGTGTTCCATAGTTATGAATGAAGAGGTAGTTGCACGCATCCGTATAACAAAGTATACGCTACGTCTGACATAGCTTGCTATTGTTTATCAACACAAACTGAGACATGGTTGGGTTTCTTATATTCGAAGAAATCTAATCTGACCGTTATCGAGCGCATTGAAAATTAAGCTTCATGCTGGACGCTTTAGTGTAATCATTATACATACGCCAAAAAATGTAGATTATCTAACAATGATAATGCTTATCTGTGACCCATTATCACGTTATTATATTGCGTGTAATTTCGCTTTAAATAATACTAAATTATTTAGTACCTTCGAGGCTTCATACAGTTTGAGTTTTCTAGTTCCATTAAGAGCGAGTTCCATACATTCAGTTTTTAAATGATTTTTCAAATTATGGTAAATGCAAATAAGCTTTCTCTGTTTCTAAAATTTTGCTCGAATTTTCACGCTTTAATTCACGATGCGTTCGTGAATTTTTTAAAAATTCTAAAGTTTGCGTCGATGAAGTGAAGGATTAAAAAAAGAGATTAAAAAATATAAATAAAAAAAATTCGGTTTCCAGTGCGTTTCGTTACGAGATAGGGAATCGATTGATCGATGTATCGCAGAACCGCTTGCTCAGCCGCGGCTAACCTCAGAGCTGTTGTGAACAATGGCGACGTTTCGACGAAAGTGACATTCTGACGAACAAATGTGTTTTTACACTTTAACGTTAATCTTCTTTTGTAGATATTAATTACGCTCGTTAGCTGTTAGACCGACAAGGATTCGTGTTCTAGGATGGCTATGAACGCCAACGCGTTATCCAGTGACATAAGCCGAAGGAATCCACAGGATGAGTACGAGCTCATTCAGAGGATAGGCAGTGGAACGTACGGAGATGTTTACAAGGTTCGTACGCTCACGGTTTTTTTGCATTCGCGATCGATCGCATTCTATTCACGCGACGCCTGATTTTTTTTACAGGCCAAAAGACTTTCCATGAATGACCTCGCCGCGATTAAGGTTATCAAGTTGGAACCAGGTATGCACTTCCACTTTTTCTGCCTGTTTCTTGTCAGCCTTTCAAGTTTTTATTCACGAAAGATTTTACAGAATTGGCGTCGGTACAAGTGACGTCTTGAGTTCTTGATCTACTTTGAATGATTTAGAAATGCTGAATAAGCTGGGTTTCTGACTGCTTCTTACACTGCTTTTTGCAATCAAGTTACATGTAGCCAGATTATGATTGCTACATATTGCACCATTTTTTATTGCTTTTCCTCTTTGTATTTGTTGTTTTTCAGTAAAAATATTTTTTTGAAATAAGCTTGCAAGCTTGTGTGTTCATGTCCTTCGTTAATATATATGAAAAAATCTCAAGCATATCAATATATATTTTGCATTCGTAAATAAATTGTATTTGTTACTTTGTTCATAATCATTTGTTTTACATATGTATATAAATAAACTACATTACAGTATGATGTTACTTTAATTTACCATTCAAACTTTGTCTTATATGTTCAAGTATCAGATTCTGTACAAATAATAATTTTATTGTAGCTGAATGTTCTTATTGATAAACATTGCAAGATTATAGTAGCATAGACAAACATTTACATAATATATGTATTATTTAAATGTTTTTACAGGGGATGATTTTGCAATTATTCAACAAGAAATTTTAATGATGAAAGATTGCAGACACCCTAACATAATTGCCTATTATGGGAGTTACTTGAGAAGGGATAAATTATGGATTTGTATGGAATATTGTGGAGGTGGTTCTCTACAAGATATATATCACAGTATGTTTCTTTCTTAAATATATTAAATGCACAATTACCTGTTGAAAGAATTATTTTTTATGGAACCACATTTCTGAGATACAGTGCTACTATTAAAAATTATACAATAATGTAATAAATGTTTTAATGAAATTATAGTAACTGGACCATTATCAGAAATACAAATAGCATATATGTGTCAAGAAACTCTCTTAGGATTGGCTTATTTACATAGCATGGGCAAAATGCATCGTGATATTAAAGGTGCCAATATATTACTGACTGAAAATGGTGATGTCAAGTTAGCTGATTTTGGTGTATCAGCACAGATTACTGCAACTATTAACAAAAGAAAAAGTTTCATTGGCACTCCCTATTGGATGGCACCTGAGGTATCTTGAATCTCCCCAATGATTTTATAAAAACTTATTAGAAGTTTACACATTTCTTATGGTTTTTAGGTTGCAGCTGTGGAGAGAAAGGGTGGTTATAATCAACTTTGTGATATTTGGGCATGCGGGATCACCGCGATAGAATTAGCGGAACTGCAACCTCCTATGTTCGATTTGCATCCAATGAGAGCACTTTTTCTCATGTCCAAATCTGGTTTCAAACCACCGACATTAAAAGACCGTGATAAATGGAGTCCAACATTCCATAACTTCGTTAAAGTTGCTCTTACGAAAAACCCCAAAAAACGACCAACCGCTGAAAAATTACTGCAGGTTACTTTTTCTTTTGCAATGAATATGAATTTCAAAAGACGCAACAAAAATCTATGGATAAAGGTTCGAATATAAATTTTTATTTTAGCACGCATTTTTTCAAGGAGAAATGAATAAACGTTTAGCTTTGGAATTGTTGCAAAAAGTATCAAATCCTAGTCATATGTTCACCGATTTGGAGGCCGACGAGGACGGAGCTGTACCCAATGTTCCTCAAAGGATAGCATCGCGTCACACCGCGAGACCTAGACCAAAAAGTCCTATACCACAATTAGATAGTGACGGTAAAAAGCGATACAATATCAAATTCGTATTCTCTTCCTTGCTTACATATAAATTACACGCGTATTACAGACCAGATTAATCTCGATGGAACATTGCAAAGAGAAGTAATTTCACCGTCTGTGGACACTAATCCATCATGGGATATCATGGATATAATGAATAATGTCAAGGTAATTCATGGATTTTGTAAGAGATATTTTTCATAATTTTAATATCAATTAAAATAATATACTTTTATGCATAATGATTTAGGCTGTTCATAATTGTGATGTTCATCCAGATTGTGGTATTGGTACAGCATTTGAAGATGCTCAAGAAAAGTAAGTACATTTGAGATAAATGTATTTTATCATTTAAGTTCATATATTATCCTTAAAAATGGGGAAGAGGATGCTTTATGGTCCTTCCACTAATATGGTAATTGCTGTTTTGCTCCAAGTTTGCTTGTCTTTGTAATCAATTTTTTTTATTATTATATTTGTACAATTACTGATTCATATCTGTAAGATTTTATATAAATCTTTTAATGTTATTACATAGTCCAGAACTATGTAAAGCAAAACAGCAATTTCGTTCTAACAATTGGCAAGCTGCATATGGCACGTCTGCTTCTGCTTTGCATCGGTTATTACTAGGAAAAAGCAAGAAGGAAATGTATCAATTTAACGCTTCTAAAAATCTAACAAATCGATTTATATTCAAAAGATTTTTAAATTAAAAATCATACTAGTGTAATTATTTGCATAATTTTTATATTTTGTGCTACATGGATTTTTTTAAAGTAAAATAAAAATTCGCGAGTTCTTTGATGCCTTATATAATTGACTGATTTAATTGGAATTTATATCACTTCATATTCTATTTTTCCTGGACATGATACAGTTTATTTTTGTATCAGTACTGTTGGCGCTAACGTTACAACAGATAATAGAGAGTCGCGTCGAAGCAAAACAGGCACAGAGATATTGCATATGAGTTTAAGGTAATACAATGCAGGTAGTTTGGTGTGAAGCTATTATACGGTTTTCAAATCTGAAGAAATTTAACATTAATATAATTATGGATAAATATTTTAATGGAACTACAAGGAGGATGGAATGACTTTTAAACAATTAAAAATAATTTATTTTTCTTAATTTCAAAAGTACATTTTAGTTCTTTTAAGTAGGTATGTGTATGATTGCATGCTGTTTTTTGTTACTCATATAGAGAGTTCCCAAAAATTTGAAGTGTTTCTTTTCATTTAAACATGCATGAATGAATTTAGTGATTTTAGACTTTTTTTTATATTCATTTATTTTTTATTCTCACTATAACTTGTAAATGATTAACCTTCTTCTTTTTCTTTATATTGTAAAAGTTATTGAATTTGTTTTTAAATATACACAAAAAATGCATGAAGATAATCAATTTAAGTTATTATAAATATTGCATGGTTAAAATGAAAGTTCAAAAAGGTCTTGATGTGTTCACTACTCCTATTACGTAAGTATTATTGTCACATTCAGTGTACATTACACTCACATAAAGATCTTTTTGTCTTGTTAAATTTATTACTATTGTTTCTATAATATTAGCGATGATTATATTTTTCGCTAAGAAAATACATATCCGGTATATCGATGAAATAATATCATTTAATAAACGATGTTTGAATGAAAAATACCTTTAATTAAGGAATATTATATATACCGGATATGGCATGTATTTGCAACACATAGTTCACTCAAAATCGAAAAAAAAAATATAAAAATAATCTTATGGATATTATTGAATCGTAATCTTGAGATAGTATGGTACCTTAAAATAGTTATTACTTTGTCCTTATATTACATCTAATCCTTATTCAAATTTCACGACTCATTTTAATTCTCGTAGCTTTAATTTCTCTGATCAGTTTGTAATTTTAATAATTTCTCCCAACAGGAGTCTATTGCAGTACATTGATGAGGAGTTGTTGCTAAGGTATTGGCAGGTAACCCTTTTCCCTTGCACCTTGCACCATGCACTTATACTTCCTAATGCCTTGCATTAAAACCTTCTAGTTTTTTTCTTCTTACTGCTGCTTTATTACTAATTTATCTTGATCAACTTAAGAGAATTTTCTTTAATGCCTTTTCTTTTGCATTCTATAACAAGCTTTTGAATTGATTAAAGCTATTTTGCATCCCTTGTTTCTCTGACTCTTCCCACCATTAAATCTTTTTATTTACATATACCCTACAATGCCTATAATAAATATTAATACTCCAAACATGTATGTAAATAGTGTTACTTTAGAGTTCATACTTTTGGAGTCTTTTTTTCTTTTTCTTTTTTTTTTTTTTTGTTGATAGATGTTTCAATGTTGTTCATTGCATGCTACATTTTTGGGTTTTTTTTTTTTGTAGAACAACTTTCCAAAATTGTTAACCATATTGGTGGTGGAAATTTATGTTTCTCTTGCAGAGATTACGATTTTAAATATATTATGTTCATACCATGTCCTTGTAATGTAGTAATGATGAAAGATTGGTTATGATAAAAGCAAATGAAATGGTATCCAAGTAAATAATTGTGGTAATAAATGTTACTAAATATTCTGCATTAACATTTAAAAATACCTGCATATTATTTTGTTTAATTGACAAAAAATTATTCCATGTATATCCCCCATAAAGTAACTTAATTGTTTTGTACATAAGAGTTGTATGATAAATCGTCGTAACGTTCGACAGGATTAATAACAAAAAATATGTGTAATCGTTTTTATAGAATATGATTATAGTTTCATGTGTGCAGGGGGAATGCAATGTCGATGGTTGGTGGGCATTGCGACCAGCTATATTCCCTGCAGTAAGTAAATGATAAAATATAATAGTAGGTTGTTTCATCTTTTGGTTGTAGATACAGTCTAGTCGTTTTATTTCCCTTTTTATTACTTTTGTTTCAAGTATGAATGTTTAAATTTAGCTTCAAATAGTTCATTGAAAAATCTTAGTTGTACATACATTCTGCTGTTAACATTTATGTAGGATAGTGAATTAACAAAAACAGTTTTTTTTTGTATTATGAAAATCAGATGTTCTGGAAAAAACTGTATAGTTTAAAGTAGTATTATTCTGATTTTCCCATGAAATTTATTTGTTCGTGAATATTGTATTATGTTCAATTCTTGTACATTCCTTGCATACACATTTCATTTTTCCTAAGCACCACCTCTTATGAGGCACCTATACACTCTCAGACACCATCAGATGCTTAATAATACAATAACATTATATGCTTCCTGACATATATATGTTCATTTCACTCATTACAATTCTTTCAGGCTCTAACAAATTGTTCCATCACATTCTTTTATCAGTAGCACTTGATTCTCAAAAGAACATTTCTAATATCATTTTCTCTGGGCATATAATATTTATTAATAGCTGCTGGTCTGTTTGTTCTTTTCCAGAGCTACTCTTCCCCTTGGCGAGTCGTCGAATGACTGTGAAGTGCATTGTCCATATTATAACATGTCAGGTAAGGATGCATTTTGGTAGCAATTGTATTAGCTACACACAATTTAATTAAACTATAATACTACACAAGATCTTGTACATATTAATCTTTGCTATGTGCCTTTAACACTCAAACCAATCAAATGGTAAAGGTGAACTAGTTTGAGGTAGAGATTAATGTAGTCTGATAATGCGAATGATTCAGAAAGATTCGAAGGTGTCGAGGCTGTAGTATAAATAGTAGGTTCGGTGCTTAGGATCTCAAGCAAGTCCCAGGCGTCACAGCTCTGTGGACGAGTTGTATGGTCTGGTGAGCAGTACTCAGTCCTTAGCCGCTGTCAATGGACAACGCCAACGATCTCTCTCGGACAGTGGTCCTAGAGATGAATCCCCTCAATCCAATGGTAGGAGCACGCTAATTCTGCAATTAAAGATCATGTACAACTTTCTTTTTTAAGATCTCCTTGGTGTAAATAAAAGAAACACAATCCATTCCCTGGTCCTAGTTTGTGCAAGTGCAAGCCAGTAATTGTACAGCACTAAATCAAAGCATGTGTATAAAATCACACTTTTCTTTCTCAAGTATTTTTGTCATTGATTTTTTTTAGGTTTGGAATAACCTAATGATCTAGAACAATTTTTTTCAGGTCAAAGTGAGGGACCAGGTGATGGGGAAAGGGAAACTATGAGTCCAGACTTATTGTCTGACACTCCTCCAGTTCCCCCAAGAAGAAGGGACAGGAAACGTCATACACCTCCTAGACCCATCAGCAATGGACTGCCACCTACACCTAAAGTTCATATGGGTGCATGTTTCTCAAAAGTTAGTTTAATTCCCTTTCTTGCAATCATTTGTTTTTTAGGAATTAATGGATTAAAATAAATTTGGAACAAATGAATATTATTCAGGTATTCAATGGTTGTCCTCTAAGAATACATTGCACTGCAAGCTGGATTCATCCAGACACGCGGGATCAACACTTGCTGATCGCGGCAGAGGAAGGAATTTATAATTTAAATCTAAATGAACTTCATGAAACCGCAATAGATCAACTGTATCCGAGACGTACAATTTGGATGTACGTTATTAAGGATGTTCTCATGTCTTTATCTGGTAAGACTATTAAGATGAATTTGAATTTTTCACGGTTATGGATAATAACATTGATTCTAATTTTAGGAAAAACTCCTCAATTATATAGACATGATTTACTAGCAATGCAAAGCAAACAGACCCATAGGTTTTCATTGCACATGAATAAAATACCTGAGAGATTAGTACCTAGAAAATTCGCCCTAACTACTAAAGTACCAGATACTAAGGGTTGCACCAAATGTTGTGTGGGAAGAAATCCATATAACGGGTAGGTAAAAGAATGTTATATTTTTCTTGTAATGTGTATAATAATAAAATATTTAATATAGGTATAAATATTTGTGCGGTGCAATGCCAACGGGAATATTTTTAATGCAATGGTACGATCCTCTGAATAAATTCATGCTTCTAAAGCATTTTGATTGTATGCTACCAACACCCTTAAACGTATTCGAAATTATTATCACGCCTGAAATGGAATATCCAATGGTGTGTGTGTCTGTAAAACAACCATATCAGCAGAACAAATTAAAATTGGATTTAATTAACATGAATTCAGGGGCAAGTTGGTTTCACAGTGACGAATTGGAAGATATGGATGGTTCAGGTAAT